CATATCTATTCTGATTCGTTGATGAGTGAAGCGTCTGCGAAGATATAGGGTCCACATCGCTGATCCTATCATTTTGATCTCTACTGATTTGTAAATTCTTCTTAAAAAGCGGCGTATGTTAGGTTCCGCAAAAGAATCTTGGCGACACCGTTTAATATCATCTAGTGAATGCTATTCGGTCTCGATCTCTTGATCGATCTTATCTGAACATCCTCTCTGAATACCACTGAGTTTGCTTAGAAGTTGTAGTTGTTAATCTCGCTCTTACAGCTGTCAGGTACAGCCGATCTCCTTCACGAGAGGGTCAATTACGGGTAAAATGTCAATTTCAAAACGAATGAACTGTTCAACTGGTCTCGATGTATCCTACTATCAGAAAAACAAACTGATCAATTTGAGTGAAATAGACGTGAGTTTGAAAGAGTTTCTGAGCACGCAAGTGGTTTGCTTGATTCAGGTGAAACACGTTTTACTTTTCTTATCTTACAAAGGAATGGTAGTGACAACCAACCGGAAATTAGAAGTTTTATGTATACATATAGTTTTTAACATCGCAATCAGTCGGAGCGGTGGTGGGGAAGCCGCTCCTCCATGTGGTGCCACTGGAAACTGCTCGCTCCTGTGGGCTGAGCCAACCGCAGACATTAGGAAGCAGGTGACAGGCCTTCGTGACGGGCCGGCCTACGAACACTCATGTCACATCACCGAAGTTTAATATGCCATGTAAAATCCGAGTTAATGCTACGGGAGCCCACGCGCACTTTCAAGGCCCGGTGAGCGTGGAAGTTCTGCGAGAGTCCCTGATGCAAGGACGGCACGGGGGCAACTAGGCTAGTCAAAAGCAATACAATGCAGATAAGGTCAACGGGGCAACGGTGAATGTTAGACTCTAAGATGACGCTTGTGTGAGCTGCCAGAGGCACTGGAGCGCAGACGAACAGACCTGGAAACAAGAAACAAGATGGCGCAGTTGCAAGTCAAGGGCATTGGTCAAGGCTTCAAAGCCCTTCTATGTGGCTAACATCAAACATCACCAATGGAGTGACTGTCATCGTTTCTCGGCTTCTCCGTGACTCAATGGCAAACGTATAACACCTCGATGGCCGTTTGATTAAGATTGTTCTTGCTGTAGAGCAACGACTGCACCACTTCTTTTCTGCTATGCTCCACAAACGGGATGCTCCGAGCGATCCAAGGACGAGTTCTGGTCCCTGCTTGAGGAGAAGGATAGCTGAGATACCGTGGGAAGCGTCGTAATTGTCGCTGGTGTCTCAATAGGCCCTAGGAAAGCCGGGTACTGTGACATGGTTTTGGTAGGTTACGTAACGCCGACGACGAGCGAATCCTTGAGTGCGCGGAAGTCAATAACTGGTCATCGTGAATAAAAAGTTCCATAAACGCGACTCCCACCTCATCAGCTTTCACAGCGGGAGCACCAGGGAGCAGAAAGACCTCATCCTCGTTAGGCATCACGACCAAGGGCTCGCAAATGCGAAGATTGTGCTGTACGAGACAGTTGCCCAGCAGTATCGCTCCCCTAATCCGCAATTGAGCGATGTGATCCCGAGAGAATCAACTGGTGGCATTTGAAAGAAAATGAGGGAGTTGTAATTGAAAAAATGAGGGAATTGTAATTTCTCGAATTCGACGTACCATCGTCACGACTGCTGAGGAGACCTGGATCGGTGCTGCGAAAGCGATTCATGAAGGGGCTTGTTAAAACTTGGCATCATGAAGCCTGGAAGGCGTGCAATTAATAAGCAAACAGCTGATCCGATCATGATGATCGGTGTGGTCACTCATGGGGCGTGATGTTGTCGGTGGGAGTTTTGAAAGGGCATGTTATGCTTCGTTGGGACGCTTGGAGAACACGTTTTGTTGAAAGGACACCACGTAAGGCTCCCTCAGGGGTATTATCTGGTGTTGAACGTCACCTTACACGCTTGGATGCCATTAATGTTATCGTGCCATTCGCCTTAAAGTTTGATGAGTCATTCCGGCCTAAGTTGAAGGAGATGAGTTTCCCTCACGATAGAGGGAACCACATTTTCTGGGATTAGGGATGCTAGAATGGATTACGCCGATCACCAGATAATCTCAGCAGGCTCACATGGTGTCTTTTCCAACGACAAGCCACCTCTAAGCATCCAAGCACCCGTGCTCCCACCAACAGCGACATGCCTACAACTGGCCGCAGCGCATCAGCATCACGACCCTAACCAGTAGCTTTCGGTACAGTCTGCAGCTACTATAGCGCCTTTCTCCTATCATACGGCTGACGAAAACATCTTTTTCTGACAGAGAGCAAGCTGTTCTTGCAAGTAGTTCCCATTTTAGTGTTCTCGAGCTCATTCAGTTTGTGGCTTTTTGTTCTCGCGAATCTTTCATAGCCGCTTTGTGAAAATGTCTTTTGAGTGTCCCTGTTCCTGTCAAGGACCCTGTCGACACTAGCATTAAATTTGTTTCAAATGGTAGCAAAATGTAGTTTCATATTTCTTTTGCAGTCGCCGTGATTTTTTCACATTGATCTTCGGCCAGCGATGATTTATGTAGGCACGCACAATTTCTGACTACTGGAGCAGGTTAATACGGGCTCTACTTAGGGGGCTTTCGGTCGTTTCGCATCATTTTTGCTTTACTCGTACTATTAGTGCCTCTGCTCCCGTTTTCAGCCCAGAACCAAACTATCGTTCCCACTATCCAACATGTAGGATAAAAGAAACAGAGAAATAGCTCGGCCTTTGATTGTTCGCTTTTCGGGATGCGAATGTATCCGACTTCAATTTAGATTAGTAATAGCCTTTCGAATGTGGTACAGTCTATAAAAAATGGAACGGCGGAACAGTGACGTATGAGTCAGTGTTATTAGGTCAGTGCTGAATCGGTGTAATGACAAGACGCCCGCTTATCACGTGCGCGTCACAGGGTTTTATCCTCCAAGAAGAATCCTGTACCGTTTTACGGACTTCGGGTAAAATTATCTCCTCGGAGTCTGTCGAAGAGCCTATCAGGGATTGTTCCACGGGTCGTATGTGGGGCACTTTCCACTGACGCTATATTCTGCTTTGTGTATTATCCAAGTAGTAGGACGCCAATGTGAGGATAATCTCAATACTGAACAAATACCGTCACCAATATAGTTAAAAAGATCCCTGGAAGGGTTTTCGTATTTTGAATTTTTTGGTTTTGAAACGGAGGGATTCGGAGCCACATCGTTGTTAAACTTTAGATAAACAATAGTGGGCCAGTTCGTACACTGTTCTCAGTCTAGTAACTGGAAGGCGTGCAGAATCTTGCAGCTTTCATGGTTTCAATATTTTAGAGAGCATTGAGCTCTTCGATAATACTGCTATTAAGCGACGTAAGCGTCTAACTCAATTTACATACTGAATTTTACTGAAGCTTTTGGTGTGAAAAACTCTCAAAACACGGCCAAGTACAAAATAGCCCGTCATGCCCGTTATTGCCCCGCCTTTCATGGAATAGAATTACGAGGTTTTTTCTTTACTCATATGCATATTAAATATGAGGCGCCTGCAAAACAACTCATGAGCGCTACTGCTCTTCGCAAGCCGCAACAAGGCCAGCCGTGAGCATTCTTCATAGAATTTCCCGGAATACTCGCCAGTATATTTCAAAACCATTTTCGCATCGCTACTAAAGACATTCTTACCGAAATAGAAGTACGGTTAATTTGGACCAGTTTGCATGATTGGTCATTAGCAAGTGCAAACATCGGCCACTTTTGGCAATAATTCACAGTTCTTCATTAAAAATTGTTGAAATTCAAGATTTCGTGATTTTAGGGTCATTTTGCGGTTTCCGTAAAGTGCTTGCCTCACTTGAAGAACTTTCTGGTCTGATCAAGAATTTTCACTTTAGAGTAAGTTCATAGATCGTGAGATGATAGACACATGTGCAGCCCTTTGTTGGGAAACATCCTTCGACGAACATTCGCCACCAGGATTACCATTTTGAAGAGTACTGTAATTTGGGAAGAAATGTCCGCGCCTCTCATTTTCCGCGATCATGATGTGAACATCGGCGACTCTTGACTGCTTCCCCAGATAAAATCTCTGGGAAAGAAGTCAGGTCACCGAAGCGGAGAAATCCTTCTATTCTATAAAGCAGTAAGTTTGTGTGTCGGTTTGTCGGTCTATGTATGTATGCATGTATGTATGTCCGTCCGCAAAATGCTTCAGGGGATTGAATAGGCAACTGAACGGAGAAAACGACCGTTGGGCAATCTGGAAAGCGATCTGTGCAGATGTATCAATCCAATGTTTTGATTGTGATAACGGCCTCCACTATATAAGACAACCATTTAGTGCACTCCGAGCCATTGCACGAGCTGCTCGCGTGGCAGCTGGACGTGGGCACGTTTAGGGGGCAAGGGGATGGTGAGGGGGGGGGGGGAGGGTGTTGAATGTGCTCGAGCAGAGGCACATCCCAAACGGTGGAAACAAATACGTAAGTGAAAGCAAGAGGAAAAAAAGAGAGATCAACCGCTAGCAGAAATGCGATCTAGTCCATGTTGTAGTAACTCGAGGTAGTGTAACACGGTTCACTATACAAGACAACCATTCGGGTGCTCCGTGCCATTGCACGTGCTGCATTTCTGGCAGTTTGACGTGAGCACGTGCAAGAGGCAGCACGGGGTGGGGAAGAGTGGTGAGGGTTCAGAGGAGGTAGGTCAGTGGGATGGGAGGGGGTGAGTGTAGAGTGCTCTTGAACAGAAGTCTACCGCAGCGGTGGAAACAAATGCATAAATGCATCAGTGAAAGCGATACGAGGAAAGGAGGAGGGATCAACCGCTAGCAGAGTTGCGATCCATTCCATGTTGTAGTATCAACAACCATTTGATGTGTTCCGAGCCATTGCACGTTGCACGTCTGGCAGTTTGACGCGAGTCCGTGCAAGAGGAAGAGGGAAGGGTGATGTGGGGCTAGTGTGGGGAGGCTTGTGTGGGGCAAAGGGTACGATGGGGTGGGGGTAGATGTGCTCGATCAGAAGCACACCGCAGCAGTGGTCAAATGCATAAGTGCATCAGTGAAAGTTGTAAAAAGAAAGAGGAGTGCTCCACCCCTATCAGATTTGCGATCCAGTCCATGTTGTAGTATCAGCTTGAGGTATCGTGCTATATATAATCCGCTAAGTCTGTGCATGTGTGTCTGTATATTTGCCACGGAATTCAAACGCCGGTCCCAGCAACGTTGGAACGTTGTTTCCAAGATATGACACGGGTATGGGACAGAACATTTTTGGTGGCTGACAGGAAGGTCACCGAGTCCATAGCACGGGTCACAGCAATAGTGGAACATTAGTTCCAGCGTATGATAAGGGGTAGGGGGCAGGAACATTACTGCAAGGTGAAACGAAGTGCTAGCAACTGATAATATTCTTTAAGGGGAGTAAGAACGAGAAGGCCTTAACACGGGCCACAACATCAGCTAGGCGTTGATTCCAGCAAGTCATACAGGGGAAGAGGGGACGTGGACGCTGGGTGACAGACAGTGATTACAACTGATAGGGACTGATAAGGAACGTTGCCGTTGTTCTTCAGTCGAAGTGGTAGAGCCTAATACTACATGCATTATACGCATGTCATGATGAATGAATGTAATGAAGACGCCTAATCAGGGCGTGTGAAACAATGTAAAGCTGATGTACCCTAATTATTCAGCACGTGCAATCGTTTATGGGACTTCAGCGAGTGGATTGCTGTTAACGTAAAAGGTGAGCGCTCGCCGTTATGCGTTTCGACGCAGGTAATGGAGACGGAATGTGTTCATCTACAGAGCAATTATTGCGCTGTGTTGGCCGACTGCACCTTCTGTCTATATATCTTCAGGTCAGTGTATGGCATGAACATCATGGCCCATGCCACCTCCCCTCTTCAAATAGAAGCGTGGACTCAGGAGTGCAGAATCCGCTGGGTTACTCTATCTATTACGATTCGATCAACACAGCGCAATATGAGCAGCTCAGTGAATGAACAAATTCCGTTTCCATCATGAAGTGCGCCTGGCGAAGCAAGGCCACTTCGGCGAAGCCGGGCTAAAGTGAAGAAGGATAGCTCAGAGTCAACCATTCAATCCGACTGGTCTCCATATAATATTTCAACAAACCTGGGCTCTAGTAGGAGATGAAACCACCGCTCACTCGAGCTTACACTCAGTTACGTCGCTGTGAGTGACGTAGTTGCAGCCATAGTTATCCTGTCGACTTTTCTTTTTTTCTGGACTGGAATTAAAGGTACTCTAGGAAGTAGGAACTCCAGGGAAATCGAAGGCAATTTGTACGCTCACCCTGCCTGACCCTTGTACCCTGTAACCTGGGAAGAGAGGGGGGGGTGATGGTCGTAGAATAGTGGCAATTTAGTTACCCAAAAGCTTGCGGAGTGGTGAAAGGTGATGTTAAGTCGTTCTAAGCTTCGTCCGGGCTGCAGCGCGCCGTTAGTCACATACCTGACCATAGCGGAATCGGCGAAGTTCGAGTACCACCAGCCTTGAACTCCATTTCGCGCTCTTCACTACTGACAATAAGTGTCAGCACTTGTGAAAATGCCAAACTGGCCGTCTTGGCAACACATGGCAAGAACATCCCCGAAAACTGAGTGCACGATTGGTAACTGACGAACAAAAAAGTAATTCGATGCGAGATCGACGGATAAATTCAGCGACGCAAAGGTTTTGCGCGGAATAACATGAGGAAGTGACGTAGCATATGTAATGAATCTTGCACGTATACATAAAGTTCCTTAGTTTCAACCAGTGCAACCTCTACAGAAAAGGGACTTTTCGTGAAATAGCAGTTGTTTCGCGTGTACCCATGCTTACCGCGTAAGGTTCCCTTGAATTCGAAGAAGAGAGGTTGTAGCGAACAACGAGCGCTAAAATTTTAAGCATTAGAAACGATCCTCGCAATAAGTCAAGTGCCTTTGATGTCATAGAAGAAGTTTCATCGCAATAAGTCCTAATCACAGAATTCTCCAGCTACTCTCCTTTTTGCAATCTTTGCCAGCGAATTTTTTTTGATAAAGGCGGTGAAACCTAAAGTAAATTTATTAGGTGAAAACGCTAAGTAAATTTATTAAACTGCTTTCATTTCTACGGTGGTCAGAAAGAAACGGAAGTTCTGCTGTGCCTCTGAGAATAAGGTAGCGGACGAATATTTATTAGATGACGATAGAATAACAACAAGACAGTGACAGGTTTATGTACTCGTCTGCTTGGTCAAAGTTTCCAGTCAAACTATGCAGAGTACCGAAATAGTCCAGTCATATGTGGGACATGGGCAAGCACCCAACTACCAGAGACTAAGCCGAGGATATAGATAAAATATAGAAAAATCATACCAAAATTTATGGGCCCTCATGATTGCTCTGCATTTGACCCTCACCCGACCTGGAAATACAGTGGTCCTTTGGAAAGCTATATATATAGGGGTTGTTTTGTTTGGATAGTTGAGTTGATATTCGTAAAACAAAAGCAACAACACTTTTGCCACTCAGATATAATGGTACACTTTCGCTGAATCAGCCGTACAGCAATCAGACGCTTGAACGTGAATGGCGAATAGCCGTGGCAGTGAACCGCAAGGCTGAAGGTGTTTTACAAGTTTCAAGCTGCTATTGCTGTTATAACTTTCTGCTATAGCTTTCGAATCGCGTGGTGCAACGTTAAACAGCAGTTATCAAACAACAATACAGACATGAGAACAAGTGCTTTTGAGTCGAACAAAGGGAGCACTTCCGCCGAGAAAACGTGAGAAATCAGTGACACAGAGATTCGTGTGCAATTTATATGCTATATTGTTAGGGCACTTGTGTTTCGGTCACTGGTTTTCACCCCAATCTTGGCGGCCGAACAAGCGTAGCGTTCCTGCTTCAGAGGCCTAAGCATATGACGATTGCAAGAGGTTCTCAAATAACGATCTATGAAAAAAGTGCAAAATAATCTCCCACTATCATAATCCACTGAATTTAATTGCATAAGTTTATCGAAAAAATAGCTATGATTTATTGAAATTATTGTACGGATAGAGATAACCATTGAATGACAATGAATTGCACAAATTAATTTGATCAAATTATATAATTATATAATAATTGTTACGTAATTATAATAATAGCTAGGCCTAGTCATAAACTCGTATGAATCAAAAAGGCGAGAATATGACTGTGCCAGCAAAAAGGAGGGCTTGCAATCAGTGACCTTGTGCAAATAATGCCTTTGAAACCGTTGTTTCCGAAATGGCGTTATCAGCCCTAAGGCAAAACAGGAGTTTGACAATTTTGAGTTTTCCATTTTCTGCAAGAGTAGTCTTGAAATATGCATTGAGCAGTTCAAACAATGTTAAAAAGGAATGCTCAGAGAGGTTTCAGACTCAGGTCAATTTCATGAATTAACTGCACCTCACAGGGAGCGACGGGGATGGCAAAAAGCGACACTTCTTTTACATGGTTCATCAAAGTTAGAGTCGCACAGGGTGACAAACTCCACGGTGGACCAAAAGTAGATGGGTGCGGAGCCTTTCATCATCTCCGTAGAGCCTATGTCAGCTTGGTGCATTCGCCTTGATTTGAAGCATCTGCGTAACCTGCAGAGATGGATCAGCGCTTGCAAATTCCGGCAAATAGTCCGGGACAGGAAAACACCAGCCATCGAGTTTCTTCAGCGGAGTCGCTATAGTGAATCCTCTATCTATTTATTTGCCTATTTGTTTGACTCAGTCTTGTCACTGTCACTGTCAACCTGGGACCTCCCACACGCCGGTTCAATTCATTCTGAAAACGATGATGTGATGAGGGTCCGGTCCGAGTCCACATTATAGTCCAAATTATCTATTTACACCGACGTTCCGTGCAAAACGTTTTGAAAATTCGGTTCATGAAAGCCTTTGCTTTTTTCCTTCAGTGACGTTGAACGTGTGTGGGCGCTACTATAGGGAACGCGAGTGGGCGACTTTCAAAAATCCTTCATGACTGCGTCATTAGCATCATTTAGTGGACATGTTCGACAATTTTCAACCGAGAAAACGCCCCAGTATATATCTCATTTAAGACGAACACTTCGATCAGCCGTTATCTCCTTGCAAGCGCTGTTGTCGTAAAGAGAGAAATACAAGACATAAAGAGATCACCACTGTTGTATTCAGTACAACACATAACATGACTTCACCTATCACAGAAACTAGCCTACCAATGAAAACGAGGTGTGACAAGGCAATCGCTAATCGCCACGCTATTGGCGTGACCTGTAATATCGCATGTCGCAGCCGCATATACGACGTTCTTTGTTCTCTGTTACTGTTTCAGTCTAGCAGAGTACCTGAACAGGATATATCTAAGTTGATGGTTTTGATCTCCTGTCTCTACAGAACCCTTTACTCAAACTGCCGCCCCACTACCACGTGACGCGCCGCACGCGAAGGCACGGCGAATAACATTGTCTTGGCCCTCTCCCATAGAAAAGCCTAACAAGGAAACCCAAACGGGTCGATCCTGCCTTTTGAAATGAGATGTGTTAGATAGACGTGTCTTGCCCGCTGAATTCAAATCTGCTCTCGAAATTTGCGGAACGATTCTCTGAAGGGAGTTACGGACCATTCATTCTCTGCTGTGTTCGCACAAGTTCGGAAGCGATAACTGGCTGTGCCAAGCGGCCGGTGGTGTAGGGTATAAGCACACTGCTTCAGAGATACGAGGTCACATGTTGGAACCCTTGACACTTGCGACTTTTGTGTAAAACACCTCATACATAACCAAAACACTTCCGTTTAGCTAATTTATATAGTTCACTGAATCTTTTCAACAAATACGACAGTACCACCTCCGGGCAGAACATTTCGACAGAACAAGAAAGCACATTTTTTGTGCGAAATGCCTACTGTCGGTAGATCATAATCATATGGGCTGCATATCGGGTAATTTTGCACAGATCACGTGAACAGAATTTTGTTCAAAAAAACTTCAGCACTGCTTTTTTTCTGAACTGGTGGAGACTGTAACTGTACCGTGAGTGGAGAGTATTTCCTTTCGCTGTGCTCATTGGAGCTTCTTTTGTTTCCATCATTTAGTGGAAGAATTCCACATGTGCTCTTGAACCAAAAGATACTCGTATCCTAATGCAAGCCCTAAGAAACGAATATCCTCATGGTAAAAATTTCCTAAAAGGACTAGAAGTGGCGAATTTGCTTGCTCCTAATTTCAAATAATCGTGGAACCAGGTAAATTAGCTAAACAGGGGTGTTCTGGGATCTCATATGAAGTGTTTTCACACAAAAGCAAAAGTTCACAAGAGTCAAGGATTCCAACATGTGAGCTCGTACCTCTGAAGCAGTGTGCTTATACATTACACCACCTTGGCACAGCCAGTTATCGCTCCAAATGTGCAAACACGGAATGATCCGTAACTCCCTTCAGAGAATCGTTCCGCAAATTTCGAGGGCAGATTTGGATTCAGCGGCTCAAGACACGTCCATATATGTACATCTCATTGCAAATGGCCGGATCGACCTGTTGGGGTTCCCTTGCAAGAATAGCCTTCAATCTCCGACTTTCCTCCAAACCGGACAAAATCAGCGCAGTCAATGCATCGCACTAGCAGATTTGGGACGACGTTACCTTCATCAATATACGAGGTGACAAAAGCAAGCATGATCCGCAGTTGGTTGTATGACCGCGTATATGCAACCGAAAACTGTGTTGTTTGACACTATGGTAGGGGTGGAGATTGTAAACAAGAGGAGATCGCATACGAACTACAGTGAATTACCCGTGACGAAACATATATTGGTGAGATTGGCAGGGTTTTGGGAATAAGAACATCATCCGCCGCTAGAAGAGCATGAAGGCAAGGATCGATAGATGAATAGCTTACGAGAACGATGACGGTGCTAGAGAGACACTGGAAGCGTTTTACATCTGTGCGAGAAGTCCAAGGCCGGGCAACTGAAATGAGACGCATATTAACTCGAAAAACTGAGTTCAAAATCTTCTCCCTTTGTGCGATCCGTGAGGTCACCTTTGTGGTTATGAACGTCAAGAGTTACTGACGCCTTTTGTTAGTAAGCCTCTGAGATTTAAGGCCTGGCAAAATCCGTGGCAGGTGTCTCTTTGCCTGGAGTTTGATTTTATTGACCAGCTTGTGATGTGATACAACAGGCTCAGTATGTGGAGCACAAGAACGGGTGAGTTGCTAAGGCAAAGCGCTCTCTCTTCCTCAGCAGTGGCCCCGAACGGATGTACTGGGAATCCACTTAGCACTAGTTTTGCACAAAGGATGGCCCCAACAGAACTAGACATCTAGGTTCAGCTGGGCCAGAATAAATGATAGTGGTAATAGAAAGATAATAGTAGAATAAATAAACCGAAACAAATTACAAACAACTGAAAGACTATTTGAGCTTCGGAGAAAACGGGGTACAAAGAATAACTAACAGGTAACATAATAACAGTACGAACGGTACTAGCACTGGTGGGTTGATAATCGTATACACGAACAGCAGAGTAGCAACCAGAGCGCAGAGCCAAAAGCGAAGAGCCAAAGAGCCAAGCACTATAGTGGACCGGTTACCTATGCTAGTGGACCGGTTACCTATGCCCATGGTTCA